ATTAGTCTTATTGTTTGATTCGTTAATATTAATCACTTCGAGTTCATTACCAGTGAAATCGTCGTTAAAAAATGAAGAATTGGAAAGTTTTATTAAACTAACGCTTCCTTTACTCAAACAAAACTTCGTTAATAGACAAGAGTTGGACTCCTTTTACAATATGTTGGCTAATAATGAAGACATTCTTCTTAGAAGTGAACAAAAGAAGAATACAAAAAGTAATATATTTTAATATTAAATGATTTAAGTGTTTGCTTTCAGACTTAAAATTAGAAATTATAAATCCATATGAAATGTATGATAAAAATGTTTAAACACTTTATTGAAGGTTTGGATGCGTTTGAAAGTGTGAAGAGAAAGCACGACGATTACGGACACTTGCGATTTGGTCGCAACGACCCGTCGGTCCCCCAATTGGACGCTAGAGTCAAATACAATGACCCCGATTACGGACACATGAGATTTGGCTAAAGCTTTTCGTAACAAACTTATAATTTAAGAGAATATTTCACTCATAAAAATAATAAAAGTCCAAATAATAAGCTGTAAACTAATGTTTATAATTATTTATTCATTACTTGATTTTATTAATCAAATTGTTTTGTTTCTCTCGATATATGACTTGTAATTGAATTAAATATTAATTAATAAAATATCAATAATAAGACTTAAAAGTCTTATTTTGTAATACATTTGAAACTACATTAATTTAAATATGCTTTTAAATCAAGTAATAATCAATTAAAAGATAATTACTTTTAATTAAATCATTAAAAACTAATAATAAAAAGTTTTTAAAAAAAGAAAAGCATTAATAAATGTTTAGCAAAAAAGACTGTAATTTGTAATAAAGTGTTAAATGAGTTGTGAAAGCAATGAATGAATGCATTGATTGAGTCGTGAATTCCGTTTAAAAACTGTCGAAAGAAACAGTCGTTTGAGATATTGTTTAGTGAAGACAACACATCCCACAAGACATCGGTCAACACATCCCAACACTTGTTGAGACAAAGAGTGGACACAAATGGACAACAAATACAATATTTTGCACACATTTGAGCAAAAACTGAAGGAAAGCATCGAAAACAGCAAAACACAAGACGTAAGCGAAAAATGTATTGCATTTTGAAAGCAATGACTGATTTGTGGTTTGATTTGATCCGTGTCTTAGAGTGTCATCAATGGTCTGAGGAATGCGTTAAACGAATCGCTGAACGAAAGACAACGGTTGGAGGCGTTGGCGGAGAAGGAGTCGGAAAAGTGTCACCATTTGAACGA